GCCGCCGAGGGGGAAGGGGCGGCCCCATGCTCCCCCTCACCTGCATTCCACCCAGGAGCGCTCAGCAAGGAGCCCCGAGGGGTGGTCTTGGGGGACACCGGATACCCAGAAGCTCCTCTGCTGAACTTGTTTCCATTTTCGCCTCCAGCGCAAATGACCAGCCCCGGGGGTCGGGTCCTCAGCTCTCCTCCTATTACTCCGGAGCCTCGGCCCCCAGCACCGGAATGCCTTGCCTTCGTGTTGGGCTTCTCAATCCCCCGCAGAGCAGTTGCCAGCACGGCCCCACGGAGCAGATGCTGAGCCTGGGGCTGAGGGAGAGGCACTGGCATTGCAGAAAAGGGCCGAGCCGGGGCTGGAGCCCGAGTCTCCTGACTCCCGGAGACCTCTGCCTGACACGCGAGCAGGTCCGGGTTTTCCAAGCTGCCCCCACGCACGCTCAAGTCCTGTCCGCTGCCCCCATGACCTCAGCCATCTAAAATGCCCTGAGCACTCTGGCTGGCAGTGACTGGTGACTCTGGTGTCACTGCTCCTTGCTGTGTGGCCTGGGGTCTGTGGCCTAACCTCTCGGGGCCTGCTGATCTGTAATGCAGTTGAGTATCACAACTTCATCATGGGTGCAGCGTGAGGGTGGGGTAGCCCCGGGTTAGGTCCCCTGCTTGTCCACACACCGTCTGGGACTGCCAAGCTCCAGTGCATCTGAGGGCCTTGTGTGGGTCTTCCTCAACCCTGGAGATCGGAACAGCCCGCCTTCCGCTCCCTCTGCCCCGGCAGATTGGTGCTCATGCCACTGCCTGGGCCCGGTGAGCTTTGGTCTTGGTGACACAACCCTCTACAGCACGGTGCACCTGCTCAGCCCGCCACTACTGGGAGCGGAGCACAGGATGGGGCAGATGGAGTCCCCGCCTTTCGTAGCTTCCAGGCTGGTGGAAGACAGATGCTTCTTCAGCCCGTTCATCCACCTGTTCCCCAGACAGGTGCTGAGGGCCACCCACGTGCACACCAGATGGGGCCCCAGGGTACAGGAGCGTCCCTGTTCTCACGAAGCTTCCCTTCTGGTGGGGAACTGGATCGGCCATTAGCTCCGGGGAACAGGGACAAAGCATGCCGTCAAAGGGCGGTGGTTTGCAGCAAATGACGTGGGAATTGGAGTGAAGACCCAGGAGCTCCTGTGACTGGGGGGGCCAGGGGTAATCAAGCTCGGGGGCGCTCAGGAGGAGGTGTCCCAAGAGGTAGGGCCTTTTGTGAGCAAGAGGTGACTAGTCTGCCTTTTGACGACCCTTACCAGTCACTTGGGAGGGCACTTGGTGCAGCAGTTCAGACGCTGCTGGGGCCTCCCACGTCCCACATCTGGAGAGCCTGGGGGTGACCCCAGCTTCCTGCTGACTGACACCCTCTGAGGCGGCTGTCATGGCTCAGGCAGCTGCATTCCTGCCACTGTGTAGCAGACCTGAGACCCAGATGGAGCTCCTGGTGCCCGGCTTTGGTCTGCCCCAGTCTCAGCTGTTGTGGGCATTTGGGGGGTGAGCAAGATAGATATCCCCCCTCTCTGCCTTCACATTTTTAAAAAATAACAAGTTGCTATCTTATAAAAACCGCCACAGGCTGCCTTCAAGGTGCCAGACGCGGACCTGTGTGTCCAAGCCTCTTCCACTTCTCTCCATGTGTCCCAGCCCTGCTCCAAGGGGCCCCCATTTCGCCCTTCCTCTCTCCCTGGAGGGGCCTCCTCCTGGCTGAAGACCAGGTCCGGTGCCCTTGTTCCTTTCTGATTGTCATGGAGACTCAGGCTGCCAGTGGTGGGTTTCCAGGGACAAGGGGCTATTGGGGGAGGGAGGTACCCGTGCCAAGACCTCTCCCACCTGCAGGCCAGAGGGCAGCCCCCAACTGAAAGGTTGTCGAGGCCCTGTGAGCCCAGCCCAGGACAAAGGAGAAGGAAAAGGGGCTCTGCTTGTCTACGTCTCTTTGGTGCGCTCACGATTCCAAGGCAGGGAGGAGGGCAGAGTCCCTCCCCGTGGGGCCAGGAGAGCTTCCAGGATGGGGTTGCCTGCCCCACAGGGGCAATGAGAGGCCAGGTCGGCCACGGCCAGAGAGGAACCACGGTGGGGGGCTGTGCACCCGAGTGCGTTCCCCTTGCTACTCACATAGTCCTGGGCAGGGCAGCACCATGGACCCCTCCCCTGACTGCTGCCCAGTGCAGGCTCTCAGACAGCGAGGGATTCACCAGGCTGCAGGCGGAAGAGGCCAAAGCAAGCCTGGACGCTAGGACTCCCGATCCCCCTGCTCCCTCTGCCCGCCCACGCTAAGGGTCACCCGAGCAACCCCTGGCAAGCAGGATGTGGCATCAGGGTGGCCAGAAAATGCTCCAGTTCCCCAGCCCTCCGAGAAGCCTCCGCAGGCTGAGGCCAGGACTTGTTTACAGGCTGCTGGGCACTGGGAAGGGGAACAGGAATGCCCCCCCACCCACCCAGGAGTCAGAAAGGGGAGTGGAAAAACGTCCACGCATGCAACCCCAACTCAGTGTCACGCTCCTGCAAGAGCTGCCCGGAACAATGTGCTCAGAGCCTTCCCAAGCCAAGAGAGAAGGCCAAGGAATGAGGGATGGGCCTGGGCCCCATCCAAGGAGTCCAGTGGGGCTGCCTCTGGCCATCCCTGCCTGGCAAGGAACGGAGCACACCCACCCCAGGGAGCTGGGGAGCCAGGGAATGAATGTGGCTGGGGGCAGGGGAGGAGGAAGCCCGGGACCACCTCCTATACACGCATGTGCGTTCATTCATACACTTCTACACATACATGCTACACCCATACACATATAGACTTTCTCAACACATGAGAGTGTACACATTCACACTCTGCTCACACACGGACATTCATACACATGCACATACCGTGACACTCTACACCTGCACACAGTGTGTCACACACACAGATATAGGCACTCCCAAACACATGAGAGTACACACTCACACCGTGCTCACACATGGACATTCTTACACATGCACATACCATCACACTCTATACCTGTACACAGTGTGTCACACACACAGATATAGGCACTCCCAAACACATGAGAGTGTACACACTCACACCGTGCTCACACATGGACATTCTTACACATGCACATACCATCACACTCTATACCTGCACACAGTGTGTCACACACACACACAGATATAGGCACTCCCAAACACATGAGTGTACACACACCGTGCTCACACATGGACATTCTTACACATGCACATACCATCACACTCTATACCTGTACACAGTGTGTCACACACACACACAGATATAGGCACTCCCAAACATATGAGAGTGTACACACTCACACCGTGCTCACACATGGACATTCATACACATGCACATACCGTCACACTCTATACCTGCACAGTGTCACACACACAGATTTAGCCTCTCCCAAACACATGAGTGTACACACTCACACCGTGCTCACACATGGACATTCTTACACATGTACATACCATCACACTCTATACCTATACACAGTGTGTCACACACACACAGATATAGGCACTCCCAAATACATGAGTGTACACACTCACACCGTGCTCACACATGGACATTCATACACATGCACATACCATCACACTCTATACCTGCACACAGTGTGTCACACACACACAGATATAGGCACTCCCAAACACATGAGTGTACACACACCGTGCTCACACATGGACATTCATACACATGCACATACCATCACACTCTATACCTGTACACAGTGTGTCACACACACACACAGATATAGGCACTCCCAAACATATGAGAGTGTACACACTCACACCGTGCTCACACATGGACATTCATACACATGCACATACCATCACACTCTATACCTGCACACAGTGTGTCACACACACAGATATAGGCACTCCCAAACACATGAGTGTACACACACCGTGCTCACACATGGACATTCATACACATGCACATACCGTGACACTCTACACCTATACACAGTGTGTCACACACACAGATATAGGCACTCCCAAACACATGAGTGTACACACACCGTGCTCACACATGGACATTCATACACATGCACATACCATCACACTCTATACCTGTACACAGTGTGTCACACACACACACAGATATAGGCACTCCCAAACACATGAGAGTGTACACACTCACACCGTGCTCACACATGGAATGGACATTCATACACATGCACATACCATCACACTCTACACCTGCACACAGTGTGTCACACACACACACAGATATAGGCACTCCCAAACACATGAGTGTACACACACCGTGCTCACACATGGACATTCATACACATGCACATACCATCACACTCTATACCTGCACACAGTGTGTCACACACACAGATATAGGCACTCCCAAACACATGAGTGTACACACACCGTGCTCACACATGGACATTCATACACATGCACATACCGTGACACTCTACACCTATACACAGTGTGTCACACACACAGATATAGGCACTCCCAAACACATGAGTGTACACACACCGTGCTCACACATGGACATTCTTACACATGCACATACCATCACACTTTATACCTGCACACAGTGTGTCACACACAGATATAGGCACTCCCAAACACATGAGTGTACACACACCGTGCTCACACATGGACATTCATACACATGCACATACCATCACACTCTATACCTGCACACAGTGTGTCACACACACAGATTTAGCCTCTCCCAAACACATGAGAGTGTACACACTCACACCGTGCTCACACATGGACATTCATACACATACACATACTGTCACACTACACCCACATATATGCTGTCACACACACACGTGCTTTTACACACTACACTCACATATAGGCTCTCCTGAACACATACTCTTACACGTGTATGTACTCACACTCTGCTCACACTCGGACATTCATACACGTGCACATACTGTCACACTACACCCATACACATATATGCAGTCACACACACTCATACACACGTGCACACACTCTGCTCACACAGGAACATTCATGCACATTCTCATGTACACCCACACTAACACATGTACACTGTCGCACTACACTTACACAGCTACACTGATACACACACATTCATATACACTCACACGCCCCTCCGCGGGCCTCAGACACGATGACCCGGCCTCCACTCACTCTGAGACGTGGGGAAGGAAGGCAGCCTCACAGGAGCCTTCCAGCTCCAGCCTCAGGGCAGCAGGGAGGTCCCCCAGAGCCCGGCTCAGCCCAGCCAGCTGCACACCCTCCCACCCACCATCGAGGCGCTGGCCACGGGCACAGAGCGGCGAGGATGGGCAGCCGTGACGAGCTTCCGGCTGAGAGGGTGTCGGGAAATTGCCACGCCCTTCGTGTTCAGAACGTTGCCTGTGTGCAGCGAGGGCGCCTGGCCTTGGGCTGAGCCTCGCGGGCGTCACCAGCACCCTCCTAGGGGTGAGTATCCCCAGAGCGGTGTGAGGGAGGGAGGGCGAGACTTCCTGTTCCGGTGCCCGTGCCTGAGTGGCCGCCATTTGTCGGGGACTGAGAACCGCCCAGGCAGGTAAGAAGCCGGCAGTGGGCGCGCTCAGCCTGGCCCCCACCAGCACTGCCTCCAGAGTCGCTCCCGCTGCTCCCCTGGCCTCCCTGGCCAGCGTGGGAGCGCTCGGGGGCACACAGGGCCCAGCCCACAGAAAGACTGCCGAAGGTTTGAACTCAGAGCCTGGTTTCCCGAGACCAGGCGGCCCCTTCGCTCGTACCGGGCCCTGGCCCTGCTGTTCCCTAAAAGAGGAAGAGGCAGCTATCGGCGGGGCTTGGAGTGGCTGTCGGACAGCCTGCAGCCAGAGACCTCCTTGGGCCTCTCAGGAAAGCAGAGAGCGGCTCGCAGGCATCCCCGTCCCCAGGGAGGCCGGCCGGCCGGCCATGCTCTGCCGCGAGCCGCTGGCCTCGCGGGCTAGGGGAGGAAGCGCACCCATGGGTCTCCCCAGTCAGCGAGCACTGCTTGACCCAGTGCAGGCCGGGAGGAGACGCGGCCGCTAAGCCTTTGCAGGCCGGCTTTCCTCTTCCGCTGGGATTCTGTGTCTGAAGGAAGGCAGCCTGGGATTTGGGAATAGCGGGGACGAGGAGGATAGACTACTGATTAAATATCCTCATTTGGACGGAAATGAGTTTTTGAGTGAACAGATGGAAAATCACCATCTTCCCCTGCCGGGGGGCCGGCAAGTCCCCGCGGCTTCCTGGCAGCAGCCCATCAATAATGGAGGCTGGAGGAAGCCATCTGCGTGTGGGAGCCTCTCCCTGGCGACGGCTCTCAGCCCAGCTCCCAGAGGTGTAGGGCACGCGACAAAGCCCCCTTGAGGAGCGGCTTCGGGACAACTAGGGGACAGGGAGGGGAGGGGATACGCACTCCCCTAACCTGGTCTCAGTTCTTCAGCGGGGCAGGGGCCTGGCACTGGCAGAATGGGACCCTTGAACTACAAGGTGCGGCTTCAAACCCCATTCAGCTCCTACTCACGTCCAGCCTGGAGCAGCAGGCCCTCAGGCCAGCCTTGGCCCTCTCCTGGGGAGAACGCACAGGGCTCTGTAACACACACACGTCTGAGGACCCCTCCCCTCAGAGTCCCTCCCTAAGTACATTTCATGCAGACCTGAATTCCCTGAGGGTAGCCAGCGACTCCTGCACCCCAGTGCGCTGGGCTTAGAGGCCGGGCATGGCGGCTCCTGCATCAGCACAGCTTGAGCAGGCATCAGCCAGCAGCCCCGTGCCTTTGCCTGGTGAGACAGCAGGAGGGGAGCCAGCAGGCCAGCAAGCAGGTGTGATGAGGAAGGGCCTCTGACTCGGCTCAGGTGCATACGCCTGGGCTTACACAGGCTGGGGCCAAGCCTGGAGAGAGCAGGACGGGGATGCGGAGGGCCTGTGCTCACAACACAGGAGAACCCACAGCCATGGGGGTGGCCGGGCCCTGGCGTGATGGGTATCCGTGCGTGCCCAAGAGATTTCACCAGGGAGTCCGTCTCAGAAAGCACAGACTTTGGAGACCATAGATTTTACATTAATGAGGGATTAAAAATAAATCCCTCTTGTTATCTTTCTAACTGGATTTTTAAGCATTTTTTAAAATTTTATTTTGAGAAGGCAGGGGAGGGAGGAGGGGAGAGAGCGAGATTGCCCGTCTGTGTGTTCTCTCCTTAAACTGCTGGAACTCAGGTTTCCCATGTAGGTTGGAGGGATCTAAGGACTTGAGCTGTTACTGGCTGTCTCCCAGGGTGTGCACTAGCAGGCAGCAAGAACAGGGAGCGGAACTGGACTCAAACCCTAGCACCCCAGTGTGGGATGTGGGCGCCCAGAGCTTTTCAACCACTAGACCAAAGGCCCGTGACCAGATTTTTATCTTCAGAAAAACCACACTTGTAAATTTGGTTTTTATTTTCTCATATTTCTATTTTATTTTTAAATATTTATTTTCTTCTTATTTGAAAGACAGACAGATCTTCCATTCACTGGTTCATTCCCCAAATGCCCACAGTGACCAAAGCTGGGTGAGGCTGAAGCCTGGAGCCCAGAACTCCCTCCTGGTTTCCCCGGTGGTGTCAGGGTCACAAGTACTTGAGCCATAATCTGCTGCCCTCTAAGGTGCATGGCGGCAGGAAGCCGAGAGCCAGGGCTTGAACAGGCATTGCAGTGGGAGAGGCACGCGTCCCAGGGCCATTGCACACACCCTATTGTTTTCTTTTGAATTTAACTTTTTAATCTTATTTCAATCTGATTTACTCTAAAATGGGAACTTAGGTTTATAATTAATTTCACCTCAAAATCTTCGTCCTGCCACCAGAAATTCGTCATTTGCTTCCTGATCCATCGCTTTGTTTCCTCATCCTATTAGCTCCTGTCTCTGAGCCACGTGCTCTGTTCTTTTGATCTGCATATCTGCGCTTGCACCTGTATCGCGCCGCTTAATTGGTGTTAATTTATTATCTTTTCACTTCTCACAGATCTCTGCTTTTGAAGATACCTTTTTTCTCTCTACAAAATGAACACGTTCTCCCTGCATAAGTTTTGGAGCAGGAAGCAAAAGTAAAGATTAACTAAGACAGCCATCGTCAACTATTGGAGGTCTTTTCCGATCAGTTGTGACTTTGAGAAAAATGTGAACATCCATAATGTATTATGATCTTCCTTTATGGTGCCAAAGTAGATTATGAATAAGTTGCAAAATAAAAATGAAACGAGCAGAATGATAGGCAAATTTTGAAGATGACTTCCATGAGTCTTACTCCCTAATGCTACTTCCTGAATGGTACAGGGAGACGAGCCAGGCAGGGCCAGTCTAACCATTCCAGAATTTTCTCTCCAGCTGGTGGCAGGCATCCATAGAGTCAGAGAAGCCCTCTGTGACGTTGCTGTTTGCAGCAGGAGAGAAGGGAAGGAAGTGGCCTGCAGGGGGAGCCAGCAGCCCCAGGCTGACAGCCCTGGAGGAAAGGGAGACACCAGCCCTGGGTTCTGCCACCTGCTGACCCCAGCTTGGCGAGGGGCCCCCAGGAAGAGCCCTGCTGACAATACCCTGAGCGGAGAGCCCAGTCGAGTCCAGCAGGAATTCGGAGTTTACAGAATGGAGAAATAATAAGGGGTGTTGTTACAGATCACTTCAATTTTAATTGTGTGGTTACTTGTGAAGTAGCAAGAGCAAGCCAATAGAGAGGCCCGTGTGCCAGTGAATGATAAAAAGAAAACCCCTTTTATCGCTTTTCCAGCTACATCTTTTACGCTAGGAAAACTGTGTCTGGGGCTAAGCCTGTGGATTCAGCTTCGTTTTCTGCACCCGGCGTCTGCAGCGGCTCTAAGCCGTGTTCGCCGCCTGGGCTGAGGGGAGGCCCTGCTGTGCAGGTGGGTGTCCTTCCTGCACGAAGCAGGGTGAGGCCCAGGCCCACAGAGACCTCCTGAGAGCGCCGGGGTTCTGAACCCTCCTGTGGTCCGGGCCACAGCCCGTGCTGTGTCCCTGGGCCTCCTCCCTGATGGGCCAGCTGACAGCCCAAGGACATCCACACAGAGTGGCATCACACATGACCAATGAACTCTGATCCCCATCACAGAGGTCGCAGAACTCCTGGGAATAAGTGGCCACCTTTGCATCTTAACAGTTAAGTGTTCACGTTTCTGCCCTCTGGCAGCCAAGCCTGTCCTGGAACTGGGGAAGGGGAGGGGGGGTTGGGCTGGGTTACAAAGAGCCCGAGAGCACCGTCAGCTTCAGTCTTGCCCTGTGGTGCCAGTAATAATCAAAGCCACCTGCTACTGCCGCCTCGGTTGGTACAAAGCTTCATACTAAGCCGCCGATTCCCCACAGTCTCGATTCGCCCACCGGTTCTAGGGGAAGGAACTAAGGCTCAGGTCGAGTACTTGACTGAATATTTGTATCCTGCCTCCCCCGAAATTCATTTGCTGAGCCCCCTAATCCCGACGTGACTGCGTTTGAGACCCTTGGGAGGTGACTAGGTCATGGGGGTGGAGCCGGGGCGAGGTGATTAGTGCCCTTTTACAGAGAGGCTGCAGAGAGCTTGCTTGTCTTTCTCTCCACCAAGGGAGGATGCGGCAGGAAGGCGGCCCCCACGGCGCCAGAGCGGCGCCCCCAGCAGGAACCCAAGGTGACGCCTTCATCCTGGACGCTGCCGTCTCCTTAGTTTCTGCCGCTCCATGCGTGGTGTTTGCTGTGGTAGCCTCAACTAAGTGATTTCCGCAAGCAGACACCGGTATAGACGAGGCAGAGCCAACTCTGGCAGCAGACCCTGGATTCTGGTGTGGAAGATGCCGTACCAGCACACGGAGACGGGGTCTCAGCCCTGAGTGCGCGGGGAAGCCTGTGAGGAACCTCCGACTTGCCAGGGCGGAGCCAGAGACTCTGATTTCAATGGCTCTCAAGGGGGCCCAGCCCCCAGTACTTTACAAGCCTCCCAGGTGAGTTCATTACCATGCCTGAGACCGGCCTTGGGAACCCGGTTGCCTATGCAGGTCTCCAGCCTATAGGGTTCTCTTTAGCTGTACGTGGGCAGCCCAGAACTCGCATGCCCAACACACACCCAGCGCAGGGCGTTCACGCTTGCGAAGGTGAAGATGCCAGTTCAGCGTGTGTGCGATGGAGCCTCAGGCTCTGCCTGCCCAACCCACTTGCTGGGAATGCTAATGCGCCCGGGCCAGGGGCCGCCTGGCATTGGGGGTGCCAATGCCTCGGCAGGTTTGGAAGCACCCCGCTGGGCCCCCTTTCTTAAAGTATACTTCTGGGACCGGCAGAACCACATGGGAAGTAATGCATTCTGGAGGTGGAGTGGAGGAGTTGTAGGAAGTCCCACGTTCCACGCCTAGAGGAAGGGACCATTTCTGCTTGGGGTAGCAACTGGGGTCTGGCAGAGGACACAGCTCCCTCCCTGGGGCTCCGCACTCTCGGCCCCAAAGGCAAAGCTGGTGC